AAATCCCTTCCAACTCAAACCAGTCTGTGATTCTGTGATTCAATGTTCACCCCCCAATAGTCAGTGCTAGGAGCTCTCCAGGTGTACAATATGCTCAGAGTTCAGACATCCCAAGATGAACCATCACAGGGGGAAAAACAATCCAGCCAGGAGGTGAACTACCAGCTGGAGGTCAAATGTAGAAGGGTCTCTGTGTGCTCTGAGACCTGATTTCAGAAGTGGAACAGGCTGCCCAGGGGGGTGGTGGAGTCACCATCCCTGGAAGTGTTTAAAGGAAATGTAGATGTGGTGCTTGGGGACATGATTTAGGCACTGATTGGGTAGATTAGGTTATGGCAGGGGGAGTTAGGTTATGGTTGGACTTGAGGATCTTCAAGGTCTTTTCCAACCAGGATGATTTTTTGATTCTATGATCACTTGCTGGCCATGTTCCCAGGAAAGAAACTGAAAGAGAAGACTGAGCAAGCTGCAGTTACATCCAAGTGCAAGGTGGGTCCCTCCATGAGGAGATCTAGACTCCAACGTGGAGAAACCTCACCTTCCAAAGGAGGGAGCCTTCCTGGTGGCTGGGTACAGCAATGAAAGCAGCACCTGCAACAGAGCAGTTGTGGGACTCAAGGCTGGTGGAAACACCAGTATCTCATAGAATCATATAATGGTCAGAGTTGGAAGGGATCACTAGGGCAGGTCACACAGGAACGTGTCCAGATGGGTCTTGGAAGTCTCCAGAGAAGGAGACTCCACCACCTCTCTGGGCAGCCTGGCCCAGGGCTCTGTCACTCTCACAGCAAAGAAGTTTCTCCTCATGTTGAGGTGGAACTTCCTGTGTTGTCACTTGGTGCCATTTCCCCTCGTCCTGTCACAGGCACCACTGAACAGATACTGGCGCATTCCTGACACCCACCCTGCAGGTATTTATAGACATGAATAAATCCCCTCTCAGTCTTCTCCTCTCCAGACTAACCAGCCCCAGGTCTCTCAGCCTTTCCCCATCAGACAGATGTTCCAGCCCCTTCATCATCCTTGTAGCCTCCCTTGGACTCTCTCTAGTTTATCCCTGTCCCTCTGGAACTGGGGAGCCCAGAACTGGACACAACACTCCAGATGTGGCCTCACCCGGGCAGAGCAGAGGGGGAGGAGAACCTCCCTTGACCTGCTGACCTGGATGCACCCCAGGATTCCATGGACTTTCTTGACCACAAGGGCTCTTTTCCTCCAGGTGATCTCTTATTTCCCTCTTACCTGACATTTTATCCAGCTTGATGAAAGCATCACCCCCCAGATAATTTAGTGACACTTTCATTTAAAGCTTGTATTTTTAAAACGTGTAGCTGTTCCTTTGTGAAAAGCAGAAGAAAGTTGCACTAGTGTCTAGTTTGGGTTGGTTTGTTTTCATAAAGGTAGGAAGCTGTTAACCCTGGTCTACCAGTGCAATTATTGAGGTAAAAATATGTGTGTACACTTGGAAATCACATTACACATCTTTCAAGTGCAGGCCTGACCTAATACTCTTAAGTATGTTTATGGCTTGTCTGAAATGGAATGAAACTCAAAACATTTGTGATTTGGAACAAACATTTGTTGAATATTAAGACCACAGATTGTAAATAAAGGGGGATAAAATGACTAGATTTGCTGCACACCTTGAATTAAAACTCTTGTTGGATCAGCAAGTAACAGTTGAGGATCCTGGAGCAGCTTGTTTATTTGAGCTAACAAGTTTGTACAAACAGCATGGTTTATTTACAGCAGGCTGAGTACTAATATGAACTACAAATGTTTATAGCATGCCTAGACTAATGGTTATTGCTGTTGCATAACTCAGGCTAATTGGAAATTGCATAACGAGGTAAAACAGCAGAACAACAAGGCTGGTGGTTTCCTAGGCAGCTTTTCTTGAAGGTGTAAGGAAAGTCCTCATCATATACTGTCAGAATACAAAGATAAATCAGGGGATAGCTACTTTACTCCACAAGTATATGTAGATAGATTTAGATGTCTATCTATCCATCTATCTACATGGCGGGGCCTCAGCTCAGGAACGTGATGAAATGGGGAATTCCCCATGAAGCTACAGCACATCACCTGCATTGACCTGCTTTAGGGCACAGAATCATGCAATCATTAAGGTTGGGAGGGATCTTAAAGATCATCTAGTTCCAAGCACCTTCCATGGGCAGGGAAACCTCCCAGCAGCCCAGGCTGCTCCAAGCCCCATCCAACCTGCCCTTCAACACTGCCAGGGATGGGGCAGCCACAGCTTCTCTGGCCAACCTGGGCCAGGCTCTCCCCACCCTCAAAGTGAAGAATTTCTTCATAATACCTATCCTAAATCTCCTCTTTCTGTTTAAAACCATTCCCCTTGTCCTGTCACTATCTTCTCTGATGAAAAGCCCCTCCCCAGCTTTCCTGGAGCCCCTTCAGGCACTGGAAGCTGCTCTCAGGTCTCCCTGGAGCCTTCTCTTCTCCAGGCTGAACACCCCAACTCTCCCAGCCTGGCTCCAGAGCAGAGCTGCTCCAGCCCTTGGATCATCTCCATGATGTGGCAGAGCTTGTGCCTGCAGCTCTAACCATGTGAAGACACATTTCACATCATAACTTCTCTTCTATTTAAAACCCCCATTTCTTCTAAACAGAACTCAAAATATTATCTCTGAAAAGGAGTTTATTGTTTGACATGGGTTGAAAGTCACTTCACAAATAGTTTTAAGGTGACAGTGGATCCATGTTTGGGGGCTCAGCTGAATGAAAGTGATTATCATTTATTTTCTGACTTATCATCTTAAGAGAAGGACAATCAGAAAGGGCAGCACCATGTCACAAGCAAGAAAACACACCAGTATCATTTCAGCTCCACACAAAATGTTGTGTGTAGTATATTCATGGGAGTGATAAAAATCTGTGTGATCACAACTGGGATTTTAATTCACTGGATTTATGTTCTTAGCTAGTCTGCTCTGCTTCAGCCACTAGAGAAAACGTAATTTCCCCTCTAATATTTGCTCAGACCCATCTATTTTTGATGGTTTTGCTTGGTTTCCAAGTGCCACTGATAACCTGACATGTCAGGGCAGGCAGTGATGCTTCTGCTCCAGAGGAAAGGGGCTGCAAGGGTGAGAAGGGAGATGAAACTTCTGGAGCCCCCGGCATAAGAAGAACATGGAGCTCATGGAGAGAGGCCAGAGGAGGCCCCAGAGGTGCTGGGAGGGCTGGAGCAGCTCTGGAGCCAGGCTGGGAGAGTTGGGGTGTTCAGCCTGGAGAAGAGAAGGCTCCAGGGAGACCTGAGAGCAGCTTCCAGGGCCTGAAGGGGCTCCAGGAAAGCTGGGGAGGGGCTTGGGACAAGGGCAGGGAGGGATGGGAGCAGGGGGAAGGGTTTCCAGCTGGCAGAGGGAGCTGGAGCTGAGATGGGAGGGAGAAATTCTGTGCTGTGAGGGTGGTGAGACCCTGGCCCAGGTTGCCCAGGGAAGCTGTGGCTGCCCCCTCCCTGGCAGTGTTGAAGGGCAGGTTGGATGGGGCTTGGGGCAGCCTGGGCTGCTGGGAGGTGTCCCTGCCCGTGCAGGGGGTTGAAACTGGGTGGTCTTCAAGGTCCCTTCCCACCCAAACCAGTCTGTTATTTTATGGTGTGATTCTATGATACTTGCACAGTAACTTGCTGAGAAGGAGCAAAGCTGTGAAAGGAAATGCAGGAAAACCTCCAGGATGGTTCAGTGAGTTTCTGTTGTTCCCTCTATCTGTGACTCACTGAAGGACCTTTGGGAAATCACTTGAGATTTTGTTCCTCTGTTGAGTAAGTGCAACAGGATGATGATGATGATGATGATGATGATGATGGTGATAAGGCTGGACAGGACAGGAATTATTTTTATCCCTAGGTTTGCCCCTCTGTTCCTGATGGAATTTTTGAAATTCTGATTTTCTTTTCTTGAAATTCTGAATTTCTTCATGCTACCCTTTGCCTGCCTTTTATTTGGCTTGTTAAATCCTTTGGATCAGGGTTGTGGTTTGCAGTGAATTTGTCAAAGCCTTGGCTCCATCACCAGAAGGCATGCCAGGATGCTGAAAGGAACCCAGCTGTCAGAAAACCTCCATTCCCATTCTATTCTAAAGACAAAAATAATGAAACTGTTTGTTGAAGGGTGATATTTTAATTTTAGAATTATTAAGCTATTCTGTTTCCCTTATAAATAAGTTTCCTGTGATCTCTGGCAAGGGCTGATGGAAAACAGCCTCATTTGGGGGCTGCTGGGTTTGTGTGTGGGTGTCGTGGGGTGTTATTTGTGTATCACATGCAGTTTATTCACCAGCTGGAAGGGCATCCAGGGTCTGCAGCCCAGGAATATTCCCTGTTTTATAAACACTCTATAAAGCTTTAGGGTTTGTCTGGGGTTTTGCACTTAGAAAATGATCTGAACTAACTGACCACTGGAATATATGGATAGAATCATAGAAGCCCAGACTGGTTTGGGTTGGAAGAGACCTTAAAGATCATCCAGTCCCAACTCCCCTGCATGGGCAGGGACACCTCCCAGCAGCCCAGGCTGCTCCAAGCCCCATCCAACCTGCCCTTCAACACTGCCAGGGATGGGGCAGCCACAGCTTCTCTGGGCAGCCTAGGCCAGGCTCTCACCACCTTAATACTAAAGAACTTTCTTCCTCATGTCTAATCTCAATCTCCCCTCTTCCAGTGTTAATCCCTTCCCCCTTGTCCTCTCCCTACAAGCCTTTGTCCCAAGCCCCTCCCCACTTAGTATAAACTAATAGATGTTATTTTTAAAACACCACCTGGTGAAATACACGTCCCAGAAAACCAATCCCTGTCTCTTGGCTCACACCACACTCCTGCAGGCAAGGAAATGAAGAGCTGGGTGAGTTTCCAGGTGGAGCAGCTTTCGGAGCCACCCGAGCGATTTGCAGATCAGGAAACAAAGCCCTTGGATGGCGACACAGGAGGGACGTGGAACCATGAAACAATTCTGACCTGCCCCTGTTTCTTTCCTCAGGTAGTTAAGCTGAAAGCTGAAGCACGTCTTGATCTGCTGAAGCAGATTGGGGTGTCTGTGGATACGTGGCTGAAAAGTGCCATGAACCAAGTGATGGAAGAGCTGGAAAACGAGCGCTGGGCCAGCCTGCCCCCCGTGACCAACAACGGCTCCTTGCACCTGGTAGGGGTTCCACCTCACCATGCCTCCTCCTGGCTCTTGCCTAGCAGCTACTCCTGACTCAGTAGCAAATCTAGAACCAGATGGATGATATTTGATTGGCTCTTAGGGAACCTGTACACTTTTGTAGCTTTACATACAAGGGTTGGGGTGGGGGTCGGGCTCTTCTCCCAGGCAACCAGTGACAGGATGAGAGGGCCTGGCCTGAAGCTGCTCCAGGGGAGGTTTAGGTGGGATATCAGGAAGCAAATCCTCATGGAAAGGGTGATCAGACCTTGGGATGGACTGCCCAGGGAAGTGTTGGAGTCCCCATCAGTTTTTTCATGGAATCACAGAATGGTGAAGGTTGGAAGGGACCTTCAATATCATCCAGTCCCACCCCCTGCAAGGGCAGGGACACCTCCCACCAGCCCAGGCTGCTCCAAGCCCCATCCAACCTGCCCTTCAACACCTCCAGGGATGGGGCAGCCACAGCTTCTCTGGGCAACCTGTTCCAGTGCCTTCCTGCCCTCATGGGGAAGAATTTCTTCCTGATGTCTGACCTCAGTCTCCCCTCTTTCAGTTTAAAACCATCTCCCCTTGTCCTATCACTGCCCTCTCTGTTGAAAAGCCCCTCCCCAGCTTCCCTGGAGCTCCTTCAGGCACTGGAAGGCCTTTTTCTGCTTTATTGTTTTACTTGGCAGCCTCTTGGAGGGGAGGGTCTATGTGAATGTCCAGGTGTGTTCATATGTGGCAGATTTGGCTCAAGAAAGTGAGTGAGCACCAAAGGGAGTCTCAGCAAATCCTGAGGCTCCTAAAGCCACTGTTTGCTTCCTTCTGAATGTTGGGTGGTTTCTTCCAGGGCACTGCACACACAAAGGTAACACAACAGTGTCAGTGATGCCCAGTGCTTTATTCCCATGGTTAGTTGTGTCATTAGGAATGGGAGTTGGAGCATGCAGATCTGAGCTTCAGCCTTCCCACTTCCCAAAGGGGCTGGGGTTGTTCAGCCTGAAGAGAAGGCTTTGGGGGGGCCTCATAGTGGTCTTCCAGTACATGAAGGGGTCCTACAGGAAAGCTGGGGAGGGGCTTTGGACAAGGGCTTGTGATGAGAGACCAAGGGGTAACAGTTTTAAAATGAAAGAAGAGAGATTTAGGTTAGAGATCAGGAGGAAATTCTTTAGTGTGAGGGTGATGAGACACTGGAACAGGCTGCCCAGGGAAGCTGTGGCTGCCCCATCCCTGGCAGTGTTGAAGGGCAGGTTGGATGGGGCTTGGAGCAGCCTGGGCTGCTGGGAGGTGTCCCTGCCCATGCAGGGGGGTTGGAACTCAATGATCTTCCAACTCAAGCAACTCTATGATTCTATGAGTTCTCGAGCTGAGCTTTGTTTCAGGTCCTTTCTGGGCAGGGCTAATGAGGGATGTCACAGAGCTGTGCTGGAACAGGGGGTTTTTCCCTCTGTCCCTGCACTCCACCTCCTTTAATGGCCCGTGGTGCCTGTTGGCTTGTGCCCAAGCCCTTGTTCTCTGTCTCAGCAGACGTGCCAACACTTGGCCCTGCAGCCAAACCCCTGCTAGTCCCTGGTGGGGCAGCAGATGTCACAGCGTGGGAGGTTAAACCCTGAGGCTGATTTTCCCCTTCCACACTGACATGCACTCCCAAATTAAAAAAAAAAACAACCATGCTGTTGACCTTGGCAGGCCAGCTGATGACAGCTCCTGGCTGGCATCCTTCAGCCTGTTACTGAAATGTTGCTGCTTGCAGGGATCAGAATTGCTGCAGCACAGAACAGGCAGCACCTTCACTTCAGCCTGGATGAGCAGGCAGAGTGTGATGGTCAGAAACCAGCTCCCTGCCCTCCTTGCCTCAGGCCTTGCTTTGTGGCAGGATGTGTCCTGGTGCAGTTTGGTCTGCAATGCTGTTGACATTTTTTTCTGCCAAAGAGCTATAAAGAAGAAAGCAGCAGGGATGGGTTGATACCCCCTATTTGTTTAACCTATAATATGATAATGAGCTGAAAGAGTTAATGTCCCATTGCCTCTCCAGCTGACTTCACTTTGTGATATCATGGATCATGGACTCACAGAGTGGTTTGGGTTGGAAGGGGTCTTCTTGATGCACCCCAGGATTCCACAAGGGCACATTGCTCCCCATGGACAATTTATTGTCCACCAGGACTCCAGGGTCCTTCTCCTTGGTGCTCCTTCCCAGCAGGTCAACCCCTGGCCTGTCCTGGTGCATGTTGTTGTTCCTTCCCAGGTGCAGGACTCTGCCCTTGTTGAACCTCTTCAGGTTCCCCTGCCCAGGTCTTGCTGAACAGCCACACAACCTTCTGGTGGATCAGTCAATCCTTCTTGTTTTCATAGAATTGAATCATCAAATGGTTTGGGTTGGAAAGGACCTTCAAGATCTTCCAGTTTTAACCCCCCTGCATGGGCAGGGACACCTCCCAGCAGCCCAGGCTGCTCCAAGCCCCATCCAACCTGCCCTTCAACACTGCCAGGGATGGGGCAGCCACAGCTTCTCTGGGCAACCTGGGCCAGGCTCTCCCCACCCTCACAGCCCAGAATTCCTTCCTAATATTGAACATAAATCTCCTCTTTTCCAGCTGAAAACCATTATCCCTCATCCCATCCCTACAGGCCCATGTCAGAAGCCCCTCCCCAGCTTTCCTGCAGGCCCCTTTTAGATACTGGAAAGCAATAACATGATGAAAGTAAGACTCTTGGGAGATAATGTTCTTTTTTTTCCCAATGTACATAGTACAAAAAGCCACCTTTTTGTGTTAATATCTGGAAAATACACACAGGGCTCCTCTCACATATTGACATGGTTGGGAAACCTTTATGCTGCCCTCAGCAAATGTCTGTTCAATGTTAGGTCCTTTATTCAAAAAGGAGGAGAGAATAGTGTCTTTGTGGGCTCTGTGGTTTGTTTGCTGGGACTCAAAGGTTCCATGTGAATCTCAGGAAGAACTTGTTTGCTGTGAGAGTGACAGAGCCCTGGGCCAGGCTGCCCAGAGAGGCTGTGGAGTCTCCTTCTCTGGAGACATTCCAACCCCCCTGGCCACGTTCCTGTGTGATGTGCTCTGGGTGCCCCTGCTCTGGCAGGGGGTTGGGCTGGGGGAGCTTTCCAGGTCCCTTCCAACCCCTGGGATTCTGTGATGCTGTGAAGCAGCACAGATGGAAGAACCATTCCCACAGCAACAGTCCAGTGCTGCAGTTAGAAATACAAGTTTTGCTACGTTGACTTGAGACTGTGAAAATGGATGTTTTTGACTGTAAAAACTTCCAGCATCTTTCAGCTAGTAGGTTACTGGCTGATACTCAAGCCTGATGGTCATCTGCTGGCAGCAACCTGTGCAAACAAGCTGTGGTTTCACTCCCTAAATACACATCTTGCAAGATGTTCCCAGACTCTGCAGGGAGATGAGCTGTGTGGAACCAACTGCAGAGGTTTCTGTACCAATGATGGTCTTTAGTCCAGTCTTTGAGGGACTTTTTACACAAGTGTGTAGTGATAGGACAAGGGGTAATGGTTTTAAACTGGAGAAGGGGAGATTTAGGTTGGACATGAGGAAGGAATTCTGTGCTGTGAGGGTGGGGAGACCCTGGCCCAGGTTCCCCAGAGAAGCTGTGGCTGCCCCATCCCTGGCAGTGTTGAAGGGCAGGTTGGATGGGGCTTGGAGCAGCCTGGGCTGCTGGGAGGTGTCCCTGCCCATGCAGGGGGGTTGGATCTAGAAGATCTTTAACATCCCTTCCACCCCAAACCATGATTCTACATGATTTTCCCTACTTTCCAAGTGACTCCATTGCAGGAGCCTGTGCAGCCCACATGCTGAAGATGTGTTTTTCCTCCTCATGTTAGAAAACCAGACCAGATGTTGGAGGAAGGAGGCTTTCTAGACATGACCCACTAATTTCCATGATGTTTGCTATGGCTGTCAGGTGCATGTCAGCTCTGGCTGCTGGGACATTGACCATGCACAGCAAAAGGCAGTTAAAAACTGGAGGGGAAAACCTTAAATGTGCTGTAGTTTGTAGTTGGTTGGTAAGAGAGCAAAGCATGAGCAGGGTAGGACAGTGATCTCTCATTTTTTTGTCACCACAACATCTGTGAAGGCAGTGAAGTAGCAATGGATGCAAACTACACTTGAATGAAAACGAGGAGGGGGAAATATCTCAGGAGATACCTTCAAAATTGTAGCACATAAACTGATCTAAGTCAGAAAATGATGCAGCTTTGTGGTCTCCTACTCCAGTTCTAGACCAGTGATGCTTTTGGGAGGCTGCTCAGTGCCTTTTTGGTCTCAGCTCAACTTCATGTTGATTTATCGGCCTTTCCTTTTTCATGAAGAATACCAGTGACTCCCAGATTGACAGGAAAAATGAAAGGGAAGGTGGCAAATACTCACCAGTGTAGCCTTTGATTCAAAGGACTTGCCTATTTTCACATGAGAGAAAGTGTTTATTCAACATTTAACCCAGGCATGAGGCCAAAGTGCAGCTCATGTCAACGTTGCCCAAAGGACATTTATAGAGACTTGTCTTTTTCCAGTGTATTGACTTCAGGTTTTATTTAAACTTCTGTAGCCAGTTTTTAATCATCATTCTTTCTCTAAGGATTTTGTGTTTTTATTTTCCTTATAAACTGCAGCAGGTTCTGTTGTGCAGAACATACCAGCTGGAAGGCTGATTTTTTACCCCCCCAAAATTTCAAGTTCAAGTATTTCCACTGCAGTTTCATTTTATAACTTGTGGTTGCAGATACTTTAGGCCTTTAATAGCATCAATTCTCAGTAACTGACTCTTTCTTTTCCATTAAACTATTTGCTGTTCCTCTGAAATGACTTCTCCAAAGGACATTAGTCACTGTTTCACAGCTAATATAAGAAGTAGGTAATTGTCCAGCAGTTGAGTTGAAGCTTCCAGAAACTTTCTGCAGTTCATAGAATCACAGAATGTGCTGGGTTGGAAGGGACCCATCAGGATCATCAAGTCCAACTCCTGTCCCTGTGGAGGGCACCCCAAGAATCACCCCATGGGCCTGAGAGCATCATCCAAAGGCTTCTGGAACTCAGGCAAACTTGGTGCTGTGACCACTGCCCTGGAGAGCTTGTTCCAGTGCTCAACCACCCTCTGGGGGAAAAATCTTCTCCTGATATCCAACCTAAACCCCCCCTGATTTAGCTTCCTAGTTGTTTTGAAAGTCCACAGGCCTGTGCTTGAATGAAGAAACACAACTGAGTTAAGCAAAGATATAATTTGGTGACAGCTCTTTTTTTCTTCCTCCTATTTGCCTTGTTTGGTGACTGTTCTCCTGATGCTGTTTGAGAATCACAGAAACTCAGGGGTTGGAAGGGACCTGGAAAGCTCCCCCAGCCCAACCCCCCTGCCAGAGCAGGGGCACCCAGAGCACATCACACAGGAACGTGGCCAGGGGGGTTGGAATGTCTCCAGAGAAGGAGACTCCACAGCCTCTCTGGGCAGCCTGGCCCAGGGCTCTGTCACCCTCACAGCAAAGAAGTTTCTCCTCATGTTGAGGTGGAACTTCCTGTGTTGTCACTTGGTGCAGTTTCCCCTCGTCCTGTCACAGGCACCACTGAACAGAGACTGGCCCCTTCCTGACACCCACCCTGCAGGTATTGATAGACATGAATAAATCCCCTCTCAGTCTTCTCTCCAGACTAACCAGCCCCAGGTCTCTCAGCCTTTCCTCATCAGACAGATGTTCCAGTCCCTTCATCATCCTTGTAGCCTCTGTTGGACTCTCTAGTTTATCCCTGTCCCCCTTGAAATGGGGAGCCCAGACCTGGACACAAGACCCCAGATGTGGCCTCACCAGGGCAGAGCAGAGGGGGAGGAGAATCATATGTTGAATATTATTTAATCATTGAATATTATTTAATCATTTTTTGTCCAGTTTCAGTAATTGTAAGTAATTACAAAACCACACTGAAGAATATTGGTCAATTAATTGTTATTATTTTTTATTTTCATTATTTTATGATGCCAAATATAATTTCTTTTCACAGATTAATGCTGATGCAGAAAAGGAAGAAGGTGAAGAGTTTGAAGACAGCATGGATGTTTTTGATGACAGTAGTTCCAGCCCTTCTGGTACTCTAAGAAATTATCCTCTCACCTGCAAAGTTGTTTATTCATATAAGGTTTGTGATTTGTTTTATTTTATTAGAGAAATTAATTGTGCAACAAACAACTAACAGATGTTGCTGTTCTGGTGGGGGGAGTGCTGGAGGTAGAATGTCAGCATCTGGCTCAATAATGGTGCACAGTAGGTTCATCTAAGATCTAGTTGGCTACACCTTGAATCCTGGGGTCAGTTCTGGGCCCCTCAGGACAAGAAGGACATGGAGGGGCTGGAGCGTGTCCAGGGAAGGGCAAGGGAGCTGGGGAAGGGGCTGGAGCAGAAGGAGAAGGGGCTGGAGAACTTGTGAGGAGCAGCTGAGGGAGCTGGGGGTGTCCAGCCTGGAGCAAAGGAGGCTGAGGGGAGACCTGCTGGCTCTGCAGCTGCTGAGAGGAGGTTGGAGCCAGGGGGGTCGGGCTCTGCTCCCCAGGAACAAGCGACAGGACAAGAGGGAACGGCCTCAAGTTGTGCCAGGGGAGGTTGAGGTTGGATCTGGGGAGAAACTTCTTCACTGAAAGGGGAGTTAAAACACTGGCCCAGGCTGCCCAGGGAGGTGGTTGAATCACCATCTCTGTAGGGGTTTCTTAGCTGTGTAGTTGTGGTGCTGAGGGACATGGTTTTAGCACTGGACTTGGTAGAGCTGGGTTAATGGTTGGTACAGTCAGGTTAATGGTTGGATTTGATCTTAAAGGTCTTTTCCAACCCAAAGCCTTCAGTGACTCTGTGCAAATTGCAGCACTGAACAATCCATACTGTCCTGAAACACCTTCAGCAGGGGACTGAAGTCCACTAAAGCATGTGGGGATGTCCCTGTCTTGCTTCAAGGTGACCAGTTGTGTGTCTGCCACGAGAAGATGGGCTGATTCCTGTTGCTGAGCCTCCCTGGCTGTATCAGAATCCCTCTCAATGCTGGGGGTGCCTGGAGGCTGCAGGACAAAGCTCCTCTTTGCCCTATGCTTGTGAAACCACCATCCAGGAGTTCAAGCTCTGCTGACAAACTGCATTCATGCTCTTTGCTTCTGCTTAGCACTGCTAGGTCAGCTGAAAATCACCCCCTGGTGCAACCAAAGCCAGTGGCAGACTTGGTCTTACAGTGCAGAGTAATTTGGGGGTCAAAAGTAAACAGGGTTTGACAGGCTGGGTGACATTCCTGGTGCTTCCATCTGTCCTCTGGAGTGAAAAAGGGCCTTGAGGGTGTCAGCACATGCACAGAAAAACCCTGATGAATACGTTTTCAAGTCTGTTACATCAGAACATTTTCAATGTTTTAGAGAAACACAAGTTTTTGTAAGAGTCTGGGTGAGGATGTTCCTACCCTGGAGTGTCCTGGTGCACCTGAAAACAGGTTTATTTTAAAATGTTCCTGTTCTGTACTTCAGGCTTCTCAGCCAGATGAACTGACCATAGAGGAACACGAGGTCTTGGAAGTTATTGAAGATGGAGATATGGAAGACTGGGTGAAGGTATCATTGCCTGAGATTGTTTTCTTTTCACCATTAACTTGTCTTTGTCTCATCCAAATACTAAATGTCCTTTGTATTTGGGTTCTTTTCAGAGCAGGGTGCAAATCAGAGCATCTTTTCTGTCTTCCAGGCACGGAACAAGGCAGGTCAAGTGGGTTATGTGCCAGAGAAGTACCTGCAGTTCCCAACATCCAGCAGCCTGCTGAGCATGTTGCAGTCCCTTGCAGCCCTGGACAGTCGGTCACACACCTCAAATAACTCCACTGAGGCTGATTTAGTCTCTGGCAGCTTGAATGGAGACTCCAGTGGTAAATACCAGTAAAGAAATAAATAGTATATTAAGCCTGTTCTCCAAAGCATTGTGCACATGGAGTTTGGGTGTCACACGTGGAAATTGCTCATGTTTGACCTGTAGCTGAGGACAACTGCTCTCAGTAACCAGCTGTCTGGAAACAAAGTCATAAGAAGGACATGGAGTTCCTGGGAAAGGTCCAGAGGAGGCCACAGAGATGCTGGGAGGGCTGGAGCAGCTCTGCTCTGGAGCCAGGCTGGGAGAGTTGGGGTGTTCAGCCTGGAGAAGAGAAGGCTCCAGGGAGACCTGAGAGCAGCTTCCAGTGCCTGAAGGGGCTCCAGGAAAGCTGGGGAGGGACTTGGGACAAGGGCAGGGGGCAGTGTTGAAGGGCAGGTTGGATGGGGCTTGGAGCAGCCTGGGCTGCTGGGAGGTGTCCCTGCCCATGCAGAGGGGTTGGATCTAGATGAGTTTTAAGGTCCCTTCCAACCCAAACCATTCTGCGATTCTATGAAATCTGCATCCTTTACCTGGCTGCCTCATAGAGCTGAGATTACCATGAAGTAAAATGAAGGAAAACTAAAATAAATTGACTCAGCAACCACAGAATCCCAGAATGGTTTGGGTTGGAAGGGACCTTCAAGATCATCCAGTTCCAACCCCCTGCATGGGCAGGGACACCTCCCAGCAGCCCAGGCTGCTCCAAGCCCCATCCAACCTGCCCTTCAACACCTCCAGGGATGGGGCAGCCACAGCTTCCCTGGGCAACCAGTTCCCACTGTCATAGAATTATTTAGGTTGGAAAGGACCTTTAAGTTCATCGAATCCCCCCAGAAAGATGTGCTCAGCACTTCCTACTTTTTTTCAACGTCGTACCAATTGATTTTTGATTATTATCTTGGTTTGTTTTTTCCTCTTCCATCCTCCAGTCTGTTTTGTAAAAGCACTTTATGATTACGAGGGCCAGACAGATGATGAACTGTCCTTCCCAGAAGGAGCAATCATCCGCATCCTCAACAAGGAGAATCAAGATGATGATGGGTTTTGGGAAGGAGAATTCAATGGCCGTGTGGGGGTGTTCCCCTCAGTCCTGGTTGAGGAGCTCACAGCCTCAGAAAATGGAGAGACCCAGTGGATTGGAGACCTTCAGGTAGGTGACCACTTGAGGTTCTAGCTGGGATGGGTTCTTAGTTTGTTGGGGCAGTTCAGGGAGGCTGCAAAGATTTTATTTAAGGGATATAAAATAAAGAAAAACAGGAAGCAACTTAAGTAAAAAAATAAAATCAGAACCAATTTAAGAAGGAAAAAAAAACAACCCTGAGTTTTTTAGCCTTTAGTTCCTTTCCCAGCCTGACAATTAGCAACTGATACATGTTGGCAAAGTAAGAGATTTGTGAGTGGTGGCAAGAGTTTGGGGTGGAAAAGAGATGAACCAAAAGAGAAAATTCACTATTTACTTCCTGGAATTATTTAATGGCAGAGACTGAGACATCAAACACAACCTGGTGAAAAAGAGAATCACAGGCTCCCTCAGCCCTGATAAAAGCTTCTCATACTTAAACCCATCTTCTATCCTCTCCATTTTTTAAGAATACTGCCAAATATTGGAATACAGTCAATTTTTGCAACCATGTCCTCATTTTGGTGTAGTTCTGTAATCCTTCCATCATCCTAAAAATCCAACACATTCTCTTGTGTAACAGATGCTAGAAACTGGACTTTAATATTCCCTACAAAGTAATTTCTCCAGTATTTTTATTCTTTGTTTTGAGAAGATGGTGTAAACTTCAAACTTCAATGATATCTCTGGAATTAAGTGGGGATAAAACTCCTGTTCCCAGTGTGTGATTGTGTATCAAGAGGTGCAATTGGCCAAATGACTTGATTCAAACAACCTTCAAAATGTCTGAATTGTCTGGGAGAGAATGAAAATTCCTGCTCAGTGGCAACCTGTGATTTGGCAAAAGAAGGTGCTCACTGGTGGATACCTTGGCTTTCTTTCCCAGATGTACCTGACAGCACATTGGACAGGTAGTCTTCCTCCAGCTGAAAGATCCTTGCATAGTGATGGGTCAGAGGACTCAGGGCACCTTGGTGTGCACATAAAACCTGTTAAGGAGTCAGGTTGTCTCCAGCCCCTCTCTCATTTGAGAGGTGGGCCCATGAAGTTCAGTAGGGCCAAGTGCAAAGTCCTGCATCTGGGTGAGGGTAAGACCAAGCACAATGACAAGGTTGGGTGGAGAATGGGTTGAGAACAGCCCTGAGGGAGAGGACTTGGTGGGTGAGAAGCAGAACATGAGCCAGCAACATGTGCAAGAGCCCAGAACCCACCCGTGTCCTGGGCTGTGTCACGAGCAGCAGGGCCAGGGAGGGGATTGTCCCCTCTGCTCTGCTCTGCTGAGACCCCCCTGCAGGGCTGGGAACAGCTCTGGGGTCCCCAGCACAGGGAGGACACGGAGCTGTTGGAGAGAGGCCAGAGGAGGCCCCAGAGATGCTGGGAGGGCTGGAGCAGCTCTGGAGCCAGGCTGGGAGAGTTGGGGTGTTGAGCCTGGAGAAGAGAAGGCTCCAGGGAGACCTGAGAGCAGCTTCCAGGGCCTGAAGGGGCTCCAGGAAAGCTGGGGAGGGGCTTGGGACAAGGGCAGGGAGGGATGGGAGCAGGGGGAAGGTTTTCCACCTGGCAGAGGGAGCTGGAGCTGAGATGGGAGGGAGAAATTCTGTGGTGTGAGGGCTGCTGGGAGGTGTCCCTGCCCATGCAGGAGGTTGGGACTGGATGATCTGAAGGTCCCTTCCAACCCAACCAGTCTGGTTCTGTGGTGTTTACAGGTGTCCCCGAAGCCTCACAACGCGCTCCCGGCGCTGCCGCTCTATGACCAGCCTCCCACCAGCCCCTACCACAGCCCAGACAAAATTGGTTCCCAGTACTTCCCCAGGTCACCATCAACCAACGGTAAGAAATGCTGGGCTAGTACAAGTAACATTGCAGCTCAAAGCTTAAATTAGAGGATTCACATTTTGGGAGGAGGGGTGAAGATTTTTTTACTCAACATCAAGTGAACCCAGCGATTCTGAGCGGCCTCTTTCTGACAGGCTGTTGTCACTTGCTCTTCCAGAAAACAGCTTCAGTTCAGAGTCCCCTGGATTCTCACAACCTCCACGAATCCCTCCTGAAACGTCCTACGGGAAACTGCGACCTGTGAGTTCAAACCCAACCCTGGTGCTTTCAGTGGTGCTTCCAAGTCAAGGCCAAGCCTAGATCAGCCTAGAGCAGCGAGGCTGGGGAAGGGACTGGAGGGAAAGTCTGATAAGGAGAGGCTGAGGGAGCTGGGCTTGTTCAGCCTGGAGAAGAGGAGACTCAGGGGGGACCTTCTCACTCTCTACAACCACCTGAAGGGAGGTTGGAGGCAGGTGGGGTCGGGCTCTTCTCCCAGGCAACCAGTGACAGGATGAGAGGGCCTGGCCTGAAGCTGCTCCAGGGGAGGTTTAGGTGGGATATCAGGAAGCACTTCCTCATGGAAAGGGTGATCAGACCTTGGGATGGACTGCCCAAGGAAGTGGTGGAGTCCCCATCCCTGGGGGTGTTCAAGGAAAGGCTGGGTGTGGCACTTGGTGCCCTGGTCTAGAGATGTGGTGGTGTTGGGTCGTGGGTTGGACTTGATGACCTCAGAGATCTTTTCCAGCCTCAATAATCCTGTGAGTCTGTGATTCAGGCAGGATAGGGACATTCAGAGCAGTGGGGTGATAGAGCACTTGGTGATTTGACTCTCTGTGTTCTGCAAATCCATTTATTCTGAATTAGACTGTGGAATCTCAGATGAATGGTGGGAGGAAAGGTCTGTTCCCTCCCCTTTGATAACACCACAGATCTGTCAAAAATGGAACAGAACATCAGAGCTATTTCAGATTAAGTGAACACTAGAAGAAAACAAAGCTGCACTTGTTTGTAAAGGTGACCTTGAGTCTTATCTATCCCCTCTCCTTCATCTGACCTGCCAATCTGCTTTTATAGATCTAAAACCTGCATGTCTCTTTGTGAGGCATTTGAATCATGAAATCTAACCTGGGTGGAAATTGCACCTATAATGACAGTAAAATAGTTGTTACTCAATAAACTTAGGCAGCCTCTCCAGGTGTTGGGAGGTTAGTTCTGGTCTTGCCCCATGTAATAACCTCTGAACAGAACTAAAAAAGAGGTGGCAAGAAATGCCAGCACAGTTTAATCCTATGACTGGTACAATTGCTTCTTCTCCAACGTGCTGGCAGATAAATCTGCTTGCCAGGGGTTTGCTGTGATGTGCAGTCCTTGGGAATCCATTGCATTTAGGGTTCAATTTCTTCCCAAACCCCTTGATTTGAATCCATTGCATTTAGGGTTCAATTTCTTCCCAAACTTTTTGATTTGAAGTTTTCAATTAAAAATTCTTAACAATAAAATCTATATATTTTGTGGTGTCTTTGTTGCCTAGAAAGACATTTTTCCAGGAAAGGAAGAATTGAATCACTTAGAACTTGCAAAATCCATGGCCTGGGATTAATTTTTGATACCAAGTTTTGGGGGTTTCCAAGTGCAGACCAAGTCAGATGAAGATGGAACCTTTGTGTTTCCCTGCCATTCCCAATGAAGGAGGTTGGGAGAAAAAGAGCATTTTTGGGTGTTCAAAAATTGTGTTTTCCAGTCAATGAGAAGCTTATTCATTAACAAGGCCGAGGTAGAAGTGCATATTTGCATATTTAAATGTGGAACTGAGAATGTTCACATTCTCTTTATTCCCTTGTGAAAAGACACTGATTCAGCTAGAATTAATTCCTGAGTTTCTTGCAACTTTTCAAGATTTGACTACAGTGTCATGCCTTAATTAAAAAGGCTACCTGTTAGTTTGGCATTTTAAAGAGGCCTGGTTTGGAAACTAGTGTGAATCCTGGTATTTCTCCAGGATTCATGTTTTCCATAAGCCAGTGATTCTGGTGTGTTGTGAAATCGTGTGGTATAAACCCTGCATGAAATGCTGTTGCTGCTTAAGGTAATTCCATCAGAAGCAATAATAACTTGATTGATGTGGCAGAGTCTAAAAATAACATCAGATTTCAGGTGTCTGTGGCTCAGGACAGTGATTGATGAGATAGAATTAAGCTGCTCAGATGCCACAGAACACAAGAGAGGTTTTCCTCCCCCTCTGTTCTGCCTTGGTGAGGCCACATCTGGAATGTTGTGTCCAGTTCTGGGCACCTCAGTTCAGGAAGGACTGGGAACTGCTTGAGAGAGCCCAGGGCAGAGCCACAGAGATGCTGGAGGGAGGGGAACATCTCCCTGCTGAGGAAAGGCTGAGGGAGCTGGGTCTGTTGGGCTTGGAGAAGAGGAGACTGAGGGGCCACCTCATCCCTGGTTCCAAACACGTTCAGGGCAGTGTCAGCAGGAGGGAGCCAGGCTTTGTGCAGTGATGTCCAGTGACAGGACAAGGGGCAGTGGGTGCAAACTGGAGCACAGGAGGTTCCATGTGAATCTCAGGAAGAACTTCTTTGCTGTGAGAGTGACAGAGCCCTGGGCCAGGCTGCCCAGAGAGGCTGTGGAGTCTCCTTCTCTGGAGACATTCCAACCCCCCTGGCCACGTTCCTGTGTGATGTGCTCTGGGTGCCCCTGCTCTGGCAGGGGGGTTGGGCTGGGGGAGCTTTCCAGGTCCCTTCCAACCCCCAGGATTCTGTGATTCTGTGACACTCTGGTAGTTTCCAGGCCACATGAGTTCCAAGCATCAGATTTCAGAATTTGATGTAAACTCCAAAGTTCCTCCTGGGTTTTGTGCTGGATTCTCTGTGCGTGGAGGCAGAATGGGAAAGTTTTTTCCCTCGGTGTGTTTTCACTGTTGTGTCTGCAAGTCATCCTGGACAAAAATCAGCTGGGAGTGGTGACAGTTCACAAGCAGGGGCCTTGATGGCTTCATTAGAGAAGCTGTGGCTGCCCCATCCCTGGCAGTGTTGAAGGGCAGGTTGGATGGGGCTTGGAGCAGCCTGGGCTGGTGGGAGGTGTCCCTGCCCATGCAGGGGGTTGGAACCTGATGATCTTTGAGGTCCCTTCCTCAAACCATTCTGTGATTCTGTGATCCACTGGAGACAACTGGATCTGAATTCAGCTGGTTACTCACTGTAGTACTGGCCTGAAGTTGCACCAAGAGAGGTTTAGATGGGATATGAGGAAGAATTTCTGTACTGACAGAGTGGTCAGGCCCTGGAACAGCTGCCCAGGTGGTGGAGCCACCATCCCTGGGGGTGTTCAAGAAACAGGCAGATGTGGTGCTGTAGTGGCCAAGGTTGTGGGGTGGGTTTAGTGTTGCTGGTGGGACTCAGTGATCCTAGAGGTCCTGTCCAACCGTGGTGATTCTGCCTGATTCTGTAGCTCTGCTGAGCTCAGGGTGTGAGCTCAGAGTTGCGGTTCTAGACGAGAGAAGGTCAGAAATGGGGGCAGTTTTCTGATGGGCTGGTTCTGGCTGTTTCAGGTCCGGGCAGCTCCACCTCCCCCCACGCAGCATCACCGCCGGGCCACCGAGAAGATCGAGGATGTGGAAATCACCCTGGTGTGACCAGGGGGCTGGTGAAGGAGTCGAGCTACAATCAAGACCAAACGCCGCCTTTTTGGTCAATCTCCTTCTCGGGCACCTTTGCATGATGAAGACTTTGAACAGAGCAAGAGCTAGGGAGGATTTTCTGTGGCAGTGACATGGTGGGCTTCCTTCCCAAGGTCATGAATATTTTGTGCCTTTATTTTTTGGGGGGGTTTGGTTTTGATTTCTAGGCATCATTCTTCCTCTCTTGGCACAAACCAAGACGGGCCGGACAGCAGGAGCAGAGCCTTGGAGCAGGTTTCTCTCTTGGCTGAAGATGGTCCATTTATTTTAGACAGAGGCAGAAGAAAGAGCCTCATCCATGCAACTTAGTCCCAGCATCTTTCAATCCCATGCTTTAGTACAGTATATTACTGTTGCCATAGGAATGTGTTGAAGATGGTCAGTTCCTCAAGTAGCATCACTTGTATTAATCAGCTCTTTGGAATGAAAAAGGGAACTGAAAAATAAGTGTAAGGAGAGGCTGGCTCCTCTTTAACCCCCTTGCAGAAAGGAAGAGACAGGATCATCATCTTCTAGATTAAAAAAAACCCCACAAACCTGATGTGGATCATATGGTGTTGATGACGTTGATGCACAACTCTTCAATCATAAACAGTCAAGCAGAACTAAATGTCCTTTGTATGAGTATTTAAGCAGAACATTTAGGAATTAGAGGCTCTAATAAGGAGGTGCTGAAGCTGTAGCAACATCTTGTTCCATAGCATAAACCAACTGGTAGAAGAGTAAGTGAGATTTTTGTCTAGACCTGGAAATTGAGCTTCCTTTTTTTCTTTCCTTACCAGATTTTGGGGATTTTGGTTTTCTGGTTTCTTTTTGTTTGTTCTTTTTTTTTTTCTTTTAAAGTCTTTGGGTCACTCTTGTCCCAGGTATCACCGTGTCCTTTATTATCCAACATTGTATCTTTGTCATCAAAACATCTGGCTAGAGTTAGGAGTATTTTTACATGCAATATTTAGGGTTGTTTTTTTTCCTTCTTGCATCAGATGGTCCTGTAACATTTTCCCATGTGAAGCCCCTTAACCAGCCAAAGCCAGAGCACCAGGAAAAGCTCTGGCTCCTGCAAAGCCTTCAGACCACCTCTGTGGCCAAGACTGGTCTCAAATTACTCTTTAGGCAAGAAACAAGAGTGTAAAAAGAACTTCAAAATCAATATTCAAGTGGAGATCTCTGCAAAAGAAGCTTTTGTTTTGAAAGAAGAGGGCAGAGGGAATTCTGAGGTTTTAACACGGAGAGAAAAGGGTGAGAGGGAAGGGGGAAAAAAAGCTGGATGAAAACAGGGGGTTTCTTTCTGTGTCAGTGAATGATTTTCAGGGATCTCCATCAGAGCTTGAGTCAAAAGGCATCACAGGGTTGGTTTTTTGAGCTGTTTTGTGGGGCCTGTTGAATGTGCTCTTATGTCTTCATGTTTATTATTTTTTTTTCCTAAACCAGGAAGTTTTCTACCTTTAGTTCACTAACAAGGGCTATTTTTTTGAGGCTGCATTTACAAAAAAAAAAACAACAACAAAAAACACCATTAAAAAAAAGCAACTTAACAAGATTTTTCTCATCCAGTTTTGCACATGACTTGTCAATCCCAACCCAAGTTGGGGCTCTTGAGACGTTTGTGTTTGCCAACCTCCCTTCCCAGTGGGATCCTTAACCAAGAGTGGGGCTGTTGGAAGAAAACAACTCATGGATCAGTGAAGAAACCACTGTCCACTGGAGTCTTTTCCATCTTTGTTTCATTCTTTTGCACCTCTTGTCCTGTTGATCTGTTCGAGGTCTTTTTTAACGTGTTTATCAAACTTGTTCTTAAGTTTAAAAAAAAAAGAAGATTTTAACTGTTTAAAGCCAATTCTGAAAGCTTCATGATGCAGGAGTCAAGCAAAGTTGGTTTTTTTTTGCCATCATGTTCATGCTCAATCCCTCTGGCCAGTTTTTCTGTGTCTTTCAACCCTGGGCTTTCAAAAAAAAAATGCAGAGAAGTGTTATTTAAAAGTCTCTTTAAGTTGTATTTTAAACTATTTTCTGGAAGAGCTGCTAATTTTATTTAAAAGAAAACAAAATGAAAAAAAAACCACAAAGACAGCATCAAAAAAAAGAAGAAGAAAAGTTGTAAAAAATATTGCCTCCTTTTTAACTTTGGTTTCTTCATCCAGGGCATGTATTCGAGCTCCCATCGTGTACAGCGTCGGTCCTCGGAAAGCGTCGGTGCTTTCTTTATACTGGCTGTAAAAAGTTTGTATTTATTATGTATAAAAAGTTGAATAATAAAAAAGTGGAACTCAAATCTGGATGGGGACACTGCCACGGATTGAAAACAGCCTCGAGGAGAAGGACCTGGGGGTGATGGTGGATGAGAAGCTCAACGTGAGATGGAGGCCAGAACCCACCCGTGTCCTGGGCTGTGTCACCAGCAGCGTGAGCAGCAGGGCCAGGGAGGGGATTGTCCCCTCTGCTCTGCTCTGCTGAGACCCCCCTGCAGGGCTGGGAACAGCTCTGGGGTCCCCAGCACAGGAAGGACACGGAGCTGTTGGAGAGAGGCCAGAGGAGGCCCTGGAGATGCTGGGAGGGCTGGAGCAGCTCTGGAGCCAGGCTGGGAGAGTTGGGGTGTTCAGCCTGGAGAAGAGAAGGCTCCAGGGAGACCTGAGAGCAGCTTCCAGTGCCTGAAGGGGCTCCAGGAAAGCTGGGGAGGGGCTTGGGACAAGGGCAGGGAGGGATGGGAGCAGGGGGAAGGGTTTCCAGCTGGCAGAGGGAGCTGGAGCTGAGATGGGAGGGAGAAATTCTGGGCTGTGAGGGTGGGGAGAGCCTGGCCCAGGTTGCCCAGAGAAGCTGTGGCTGCCCCATCCCTGGGGGTGTTGAAGGGCAGGTTGGATGGGGCTTGGAGCAGCCTGGGCTGCTGGGAGGTGTCCCTGCCCATGCAGGGGTGGGACTGGGTGACCTTGAAGTCCCTCCCAACCCAACCCAATCTCAGATTCTGTGATTCTGTGACTTAGCCCTGGCAGCCCCCAGGCCACCACAGCCAGCAGGAGCTGCACACACACAGATGTCCTGTGAGCTCAGAACCTTATAAACAGCTTCTCTGGAAAGGCCAAAATAGGCACTGCTTGGGTTTGTGCCCCAGCACCACTGCTGAGCAAACTCTTTGTCTTTGTGTAGGTCTTCAAAGCAACTGCCCAGTCCTCCCCTTCTGCTCTGCCCTGGTGAGACCCCACCTGGAGTGTTGTGTCCAGTTCTGGGCTCCCCAGTTCCAGAGGGACAGGGATAAACTGGAGAGAGTCCAATGGAGGCTACGAGGATGATGAAGGGACTGGAACATCTGTCTGATGGGGAAAGGCTGAGAGACCTGGGGCTGGTTAGTCTGGAGAAGACTGAGAGGGGATTTATTAATGTTTACAGATACCTGCAGGGTGGGTGTCAAGAACAGGGGTCAGTCTCTGTTCAGTGGTGCCTGTGACAGGACGAGGGGAAATGGCACCAAGTGACAACACAGGAAGTTCCACCTCAACATGAGGAGAAACTTCTTTGCTGTGAGGGTGACAGAGCCCTGGGCCAGGCTGCCCAGAGAGGCTGTGGAGTCTCCTTCTCTGGACACTTTCAAGCCCCATCTGGATGTGTTCCTGTGGGATCTGTCCCAGGTGTTCCTGGGCAGGAGAGGGGGTTGGACTCAGTGATTTCCAGAGGCCCCATCCAACCCTGCCCAGTCTGTGATTTTATGAAAATGTCACTGGGAGGTGAGGGCTGTGACTGGGGGAGAATCTGCCATATGGGGATAAAAATGTACATTTTCTTGGGTATCATTTGTAAGGGTTGATGCTTTTACACAGAGATTTGAATCTCCAGCCACTTTAGCACATCCTTCCAGCCATCTCCAAGCCCTGCTAAGGTGGGATTGGTATGAGGAGCAAAATGCTGCCAACCTTGGAGCCAGCAAGAGAGCTCCAGGTATCAAAATAATTGCCTACTAGCCCTTATGCAATTAGGCTAATTGCCTAAAGAAGGAGAGGGTAACTCATAATAACACCTCAGTGGGATTGGCCTTTACTAGGCCTGATTTGCCTCATTTTGGGAGGAGTATTCCCACTGCATCCCAAACCCCTCCAGCTTCAGGATGCCTTTGTGCTCTGGATTTCCCAGTTCTGTTTCCCAGCCACCACTGGGAAGCCACCCCAGGCACCAGCTCCTTGCTTGGCTGATTTCAGCATCTCAGAGGTGAGTGATTGTTGCATGAGGTGCTTTCCCTGATGAGGAAAGGCTGGGAGAGCTGGGACTGCTCAGCCTGGAGAAGAGAAGGCTGAGGGGAGACCTTCTTAATGCCTGGCAGTATCTCAGGGGGGTGCAGGAGGATGGAGCCAGACTCTGCTCAGCAGTGCCCAGGGACAGGACGGGGGGCAACGGGCACAAGCTGGAACATGGGAAGTGCCACTGAAAGAGGAGGGAAAACTTCTTGCCTGGGAGGGTGACAGAGCCCTGGGACAGGCTGCCCAGGGAGGGTGTGGAGTCCCCTTGTCTGCAGATATTCCAGCCCCTGGATGCAGCCCTGGGGGATGTAGTGTTGAAGGGCAGGTTGGATGGGGCTTGGAGCAGCCTGGGCTGCTGGGAGGTGTCCCTGCCCATGCAGGGGCGTTGGAACTCAATGATCTTTCCAGTCCCTTCCAACCCAAACCATTTGATGATTCAATTCTATGAAAACAAGAAGGATTGGCTGATCCACCAGAAGGCTGTGTGGCTGTTCAGCAAGACCTGGGCAGGGGAACCTGAAGAGGGTCAACAAGGGCAGAGTCCTGCACCTGGGAAGGAACAACAACATGCACCAGGACAGGCCAGGGGTTGACCTGCTGGGAAGGAGCACCAAGGAGAAGGACCCTGGAGTCCTGGTGGACAATAAATTGTCCATGGGGAGCACTGTGCCCTTGTGGCCAAGAAGGCCAATGGGATCTTGGGTTGCATTAAGAGCAGTGTGTCCAGCAGGT